CAAAAACACATTTTCAATCAACTTTGTTTGTGTGGCACCAGAGAACTTTATTCTTGCTTTCTATGAAATGCAAAGAAAAATATTCTGAGTCACCAGGTCAGCTCATCAGTTTAGAGATACAATAGCTAGAGTTTTAAGCCCAGAAGCACAGACAGCATACTAGAGTGGGCCTCTTGACAGTCATCACTGTTAGCATGCTATTGGAGTATGGCTTTGCAAACTATTGTTAATAAAGAACTTTGTATAAACTCCTTTGATCTTTATAGTCATCTAAAGAGAGCCCACACACTGAAGTATGTAACTGAACATTAAAATCTAGTGAGGCTGCAGTTTTACTAGTTTTCTGTTGCCAGACATTTTCATGACGAGAGAAAGGGAAGCTGGGGAAAGTGTGGTCAATGGCAAGTGACACTCCAGGAAGAGTCACAAAGAAGCAACCAGTAAAAGAAGAAATGACTAGAAAAGCATTCAAAGCAGGAAACAAGACAGTATTTCCTCAGTCTCAGAGGCAGCTTCCTTCAGTAGAATGTGATGAGGAGTGAAGATGTGGGTTTCAGGCCTCAGTCTGGACCTGCTAATGTCGAACTTTAATTTTCAACTTGACAAAACCTAGAATCACCTGGGAGGGGAGACCTAGTGAAAGATTGTCTCCATTGAGTTGACCTAATGGACATTTCAGTGGGGCATTGTTTCAGTTAATTAATTGATGTGGGAAGACACAGCTCAAAGTGGGTCCTCCCAAGGCAGAAGAATCCAGAACTATATGAGTAGATACATTGGGATAAGCAAAAGTAAGCATTCAATCATTTTCCTTTTCTCTTGACTGAGAATGTGATGTGACTAGCTTAATCCCTGTCTTGATGTGTCTGCTATGATGGATGATGGTCTGGAATTGTAGGATGAATAACCCCTTCCCCCCTAAGTTGCTTTTTATCAGGATATTTTTATCATAGCAACAGAAATGCTTGTGAAGAGATCTGAACATCTCACCACATTGTAAATGAGGAATCATGGAAAACTTGTTTAACTTCTTGGTTCCCAGGAGTCCTACATAGCAGGCAAATAAGATTGCCATGCCTATAAAATAATCTAAGTAAAGTGTGCAGATTAATAATGGCTGCACACTGTGAGTAAACTACCAACAATGTGAGCTGAATGCAAAACAAAAAGTGTTTCTGCTTCCTATAATTCCACCTTCTCTCACAGAAAGCCCCTCTTCTCTCTTCATTTTTCCAATTCCCGAAGATCTATTGTGCATCCATTGCTCTACTGAAGGCATTGTAAGTTACAAATACAAACTTTGGCAAAGAATATATGTTCAGTTTAGAAATGTTAAAGAAGCTGTCAAAGGGCCAATGAGATGTTTCAGAGATTAAAGGCAGTTGCTGCCAAATGTGATCACCTGAATTTAATATCACATGGTGAGAAGAGACCAACTCCACAGAGTTTTCCTCTGATCTATGTTGTGGTAAATACACACACACACACACACACACAGAGAGAGAGAGAGAGAGAGAGAGAGAGAGAGAGAGAGAGAGAGAGAGAGAGAATTTGTTTAAGCTTTCAGAGAAGTAAACATGTGTGATGGGTTTGGAAGAACACTAGGGGTTTTGCATATGAGCAGAGCCTTTGCAGAAAATGTAAGGTTTTGTGCCAAGTCCTGCCATCTTCTAGCAACATGACATTGGAAGGTGATTAGATAAAACTGGAGCACAGAGTGTAAGCAGAGAGAAGCTCTGTGATATGAAGCAAGGTTCTGCGTGCTGATCATTTCCCTGCTTTGCCATATAGTCTAGGTAGGTATTCCACTCCTAGACATTGCTGCACTATGGAAAGGAATTTTTCCTAGTACAGCTACACACACACACACACACACACACACGCATGTGTGTATTTATACACACATATATACATATATACACAGATACAGACAGATATATGTATATATTCACACACATATATATAACACACACATATACATATAAACACATATGCAAATACACACACATACACACTCACTTGTATACACATACAGATAAACACACATATGTACATATACATATATATACACATGCAGATATACAGATACATACACTTGCTTCCTCATTTATGTGTATATAATTTTTGCTGTAACAAGTCATCTTTTTAAGCCAATGGCATAAACCATAGTTTTGAAAATCAAAGTTTTATTTCTAAGTAATCTTTGTTCATTTGGGTTTTCATTAATACCAGGAGACTCAGAACATAAAATACACAGTACAGCTAATTGCGTGTGAAGAGAACTTGTGGAAAATGAGTTTGTATTTATCACTTTGAATTTGAACTCTTATAGGCAATGTGGTGGAGAGGAAGAGAGGGATTGAGGAGATAAGTGAAGAGGCAAACTCTTGGGCACATGCAGAATCATTAAATGAGACAGAGGCCTGAGTTCCTCTCTCTGCCTTTGGCCTACAGAATATAGAAATGCGAGGATACAATGTGATGAGGATCTTTCCTACCATGTCACGTGCTGCCTCATTGATCAACAGGGTTGCTTCAGATAACCTAGCTGGCTAAGCAGGAGTCCCCTGCTTCTCTTACCACTCTCTATGTGTCTGCTCTGAAGCTAACTGCTCTGGGGAAGAAGCCCAATTTCAGTCAATGAAATACTAGCAGCTGTGCTCCCTGCAAGAACCTCCAAAATAAACTCTCAAGGATAAAGAAACATGTTTGAGGCTTTCATGTCAGAGGTCATAGAAATTGTCATCGTGGCTACCCCATAGGTGGTGGGTTGCTGCCAAGCCAGCAAATCTCCTTGTAGAGCCTGGCAGGGGTGTAGTTGATGATGTGGAGTGGCATGCAGAGAAAATCAACATCTGAACTAAGCTCCTAATCTTCTCTAGCTGCAGAGCGTATCAGAAGGGGAACATTAAAGCATGCCTCATATCCTTGAAAAGGGGCAGGCATTAGTTGAGAAAACAAATTGGCTGCATGCCTTAAGGACTGGGGAGGGAGAATTGAGAAAGCCACTATGAAGCACTAAATAAGAAGGAAGGGACATGGACAAAATCAGTAGAAGCTAGAGTATCTAGAGGTCAATAACCAAGGACTATCATCTTTGTCATAGTATGATTTGCACAAGTCAATGCCCCTAAGTTTGAAGTTAAAACAAACCCAGAAACACAATTAAGGATAGGCAGAAAACCTTGACAGAAAATTCCGAGGATGTTGCGATAATTCTTAATTAGGAAGATTGAAGTTATTCACACCAAGAGAGAAAGAAATAGGACCACAAAACAGAAATTACAATGATTGAAAACAAAGTATATTTTTGGCCACTATTCTCCATACATTAGGGAATATGCAGGGGCATTGTAAGAGGAGCATCTATGATGATGATTAAAAGGACAACCTGGAGAAAGAGAGGATTTAGAGGAAGGAAGGGAGGGAGGGAGGGAGAGAGGGAGAGAGGAAGGAAGGAAAGAAGGCAGGCAGAAGGAAAAGGAGAGAGGGAAGAGAGAAAGATGAAGAAATGAAGGAAGAAAGATAAAAAGAGATGGGAGGGAATAAGAGGAGGAGGGGAGAAAGGAACGATGGTTAGATGAGTGGTGGGAGGTAATGGGTGGATGAAAAATCAGTAAAGAAGTGTTGTGCTATAGTTTCATGAGATGATTTTCTCTGCAGTTTCCAGAGTCCTTACACAATATACCTGGTATGTTGGAAATTCCTTGCCTGAAACTAGTTGTTATTTGCATAAAACTAAACCTTGCCATCCCTCTTTGTAGGGCCAGTGCTTCTGAGGCAACCATGCATTCTTGTCTCCCTCATTGGATGTTTTCCTTTGCCTTTTGTCTTTCTTCATATGCCTCTACTTTGGGTTAATAGGCACCTTGGCCATTTCAGAACATAAAGCATGCAGCACCTTTATAACCCATCATGTGTAACTAGGCACATCCCATTTGAAGATGTTAAGCAGTCTAGAATATGGTCACATCAAGGGCAATTATCCCTCTGACTTCATTTTATAGCTTCAAAACCTTTAGATTAGCAAGAACAGAAGCCTCCACACAGACCACGAGAACAGGGAGCAGGGAGACAGGTAAGCCCATGCCAGTATCTGAACTGTGAATGAGTGGAAAGCAGAGCTGTGCTATATTGCCAGATGGTCCACTGTGGAGCATGTTTCATCAGGAAGAGGGTTCAGACCTGGAGCAGTGCAGAGACAGCTCTGCGGGCCAGACGCTGTGTCAGCCATAGACAAACTCTCTCCTGTGGATGCTGTTTGAGCTGCAGCCCCGTTCGTGAAATGTGACTCTTGCCAGAAGAACGTTTTCCTGGACTCATTCTCTTGCTCCTCATTCACTTTGTTCCCAATCTACTTGCCATCATTCGTATCTTGTCTTTCATCTACTGAAGGTGATGCCATTGGTGCAATTCTCCTGGGACCCATCTCAGGCTCTCTCCTGGACCACCATGTCCTGCCCCCAAAGCTTTTTGGATTAAAACAAAAACAAGATATCAACATGAAATAAGATAGATCTGCTTGTTAAACTTGGTGGGTTGTTCCCTGGGATAGGATAAACAAAGTCCTAAGACTAGGTGATCTTAAAAGTTCAACAAATACACAAAGGTGGAAAGACAAGCCACCTCTCTGGCTCACTGGGAGCTGCTCTTTTCCTATGCAAAAAAACAGGGAGCTGGCCTACAGCTCTTAGAAGGGCTCATGTACTATCTATTGCAATAATACCATTATCCAAACAGCTAAAATGTAGGGACACTCTTAAAAGGAGGAGTTGTCAAATATTGAAAAGGAAACATATCCTGTGGTTATCTAATATTTTATAGGCTCTTAGAATAAAGTGCTATCACTGACAGAACAGGTTTTAGTTGCCTTTCAATCCACATTGTTTTTATAAAATACAATAAAACTGGAAGGGTCCTGTGGTCCTATGGGTGACCATCATGGCATTACCCACATTTCTTTGTGTTTTATTGTTCTTTCCTCATTTATCATTGATTAGAGTCACTGGGACTGGCACACATACAGGGAAAGTCTCTGCTGGCACCTGCTCCTGGATCCACATTCTCCACTGCTGAGGAAAGCAGAAGTTCACCTTCCTCTGGACATTCGTGGTGAATACAAGGCAAGCTTTCTCTGACCATGAAAGATGAGCTGACAGTGGTTCTTCCCATTTGACAGATGAAGACTGAATCTTATAGAAGTTAACATGACTGAATCTTATAGAAGTTAACAACAACTAAGGGTCCCCGTCCAGCCCTGACTCACTGAGCTGCTTAGATTTTATGGGTTCAGTGTTGAGTGATGATCCATGAACTAGTGATATTAAAAGGATAATCTGCCTAATGCTGCTTGCTTCCTTCCCTCCCTGACCATCAGAGCATTTAAGAAAGTGGCACAGACAACTATCTGAGAAGATCTTCAGAGAAGACACATTTGAATGATGCTCCCCAAATACTCAATAAGGAAAGAGCTAGCACTGCAAGATTTGGGGGGAAAATATGCTTTCTTGACTAGCTTATCATGGGTGATGGAGACCTTAATATATGGTTCCTCACTAACTAGGCCTACAGGCTGCATTATAAACCAAATAGAACACAGCAAAGATCATGGGGACCTTTTGAGATACCACTTTTATTGACTAAAATGTTTGATAACTAGATATTATCCAGAAGTGTTTCCTTCCCACGCTGACCGACAAATCATGGGAATCTCAAGACTTCTCATGATTATGAATCCAGCAATCATTCAATGGCCACTGGTTTGAGATCTTGTGGTTTCCTGGTGCACCTATGTACTTCAGCTTTCTGTGTAACACTATCTCCAGCATTTGTGTTGTGTATTTGTATGTGTGCATGTGTGTGTGTGTGTGTGTGTGTGTGTGTGTGTGTGTATGTGGGTGTGTGTGCATATATGTGTGTAAGGGTATGTATATACATACACATGTTCAAGTAAGCTATGATTGAATTGATAAATGCAAGGACTATACATGGTCTCCAGAATCTTTTGTGAAGCTACAAATGAGTCTTTTGCCTGTTGCCTGTAGCCCTGCCTGGATGACATATTCTGAAAAGCAAGGCTTAAGGAAGAGAAGGAAACTAACATTGTGAAATGGGTGCTTCATGTTCAATCCACAAGTACATTGATCTGCAAATGAAGTAACCATAGGAGTCCATGGTCGTACTCTCCCTCCAAGAGATAGAAATTCAGGAGAGAGATTGCTGTGAGCATCCCTTTGGGATCTACCCATGATTCAGGCCATGGCCTTGCTTCCTTGATTTGTTTCCAAGGATGAGTAAGCATGGCAGGGTACTGGAATCAAGCCATTCTTATCCAACATGGGATGCTTACTAGGCAATCTTCATTCTAGAGTTTTCATCAGCTTGGGCATGGTGGTTCTAATGCTATGCAGTAGTCTCCCAAACCAAGACTATTGGTACTTGAGGAGGTAATCAAAGATTAGGGACCCAATGAAAGATTAAGGACCCATTTACTCCCTATTTAGCTGTAAAGTGGCTCTAGCTCTGGGTAGTCTGGAGGGAGTCCCTAGCCATCAACATGGCATCTGACATCTAATGTAAGATGAAAGTCAGACATCCAGAATGAAGACTAAACGAAAACAGAGGCATGAATTGTCGGCACGGCTATGTGACCCAGACTCTTTGTATTATGACAGAGAGAGAGAGAGAGAGAGAGAGAGAGAGAGAGAGAGAGAGAGAGAGAGACATCATGTACTGACTCCTGCTGCCACAACCCATACTGCACCAGGTGTCTTATTGTTTTGTTTATTTACTTGTCTGTTCTTAGCAACAGATTGAGGAGTTAAAAATGGCTTAGCTAAACCCGCATTTGGAAATTATTTCTGACATCCTGCTACATGAAGAGCCATACTGTCATCTTTGATGCTGATGCACAGTACAATGCTCTCCCAACCACCACCTACCCACCCCCAAAAGTAGGGTAACATTTCTTCATTTTATTAAAGGAGCTGTGTGAATTTTAAGGGTGTCAGGGTTGATCCAGGAAAAAAATAATAAGCAGGAGAGACACTAACATAGCAACTGGGAGCTATGCTTTCTACAGAGTTCATGGGTGAGTCTCTCATAGAAAAAGACCTTGCAGTGTCCATGTCCCAGTCGCTACCAAGAGTGACAGATAGCAGAGGAAATCTTACAGGGTTCTCACCCCACTAAGTGTTGCACCCTGTGTCTCTGCAGTGAGAGTTCTGAGATACAGAGCTCCTATGGGGCAGCAGTGGTGGTCTGTAGTCCTCTACACAGCAGATGTGCAACAGTTTTGCAGAATAAGAGAAGTTGAGAGTCTCAGTGTTGGAAGTGCATCCCCCTAGATGATGCGTAAAGGTGGACATAAAAGAATTTTAATTTCATTTCCACAGGCTGTTGGCTACAGGTTCTGGCTTATTGGGAAATTGAGGCCAGTTTGGGGCTAATGCATCAGGACCATAACTGGCCCTTTATATAACAGATTTAGTGTCTTGCCTTGGATTGCACACCTTGGGAAAGGTGAGATTGAAGCTGAACTGAGATTAAGATTCCCCATTCCACCAGGTAAGTGTAATCTATGCCATTCTTTTCAAGAGTAGCTTTCCCTCATCACAAATACTGGATATCAAAGACCAAGAGGAATTTATTTCTAGTGTTGTTAATGAGGACAGTGAGGCTGATTTTCAAAAAACTGATTCTTTCCTTTCTCTCTGGAATCTTACTGTCAGAACTAACAGCTGAGGAAGGTGGATGGAAGTGAGAAGGGAAGAAAGAAAAGTCATTAAGAGGGAGAAAGGGGAGGGGAGGGATGAAGGAAAATGGACAGAAAAGGATGCAATGTCTACCAGTCAGAGAATAACATTCCATTTAAAATGTTTTGAAAGGGCTGTTTTCAAATGACTTCCTTAGAGCTTTGAACTCTCACCACACAAAACAGACTCATTTTGTCTCTCCACGTTCACTTCCATCTTCTTTCACGGTCTCCCTGGCCTTGGCCTTTATTTGAATGAAGAAGGACTGAAAACAAACAAAGCCTGTTTTGCTTCCACTGTTGAAAAATAGAGAGCATGAAATGTATCTCATGAGTGACTTCCAAAGGAAGGGGGCAAGCACCTGATAGAGCTGAGTGGAAAAGAACTGTTAAATGCAGCTGTTCCCGAGCTCTTGAAGTTGACCTCAGAAGCAGCTGTGTCTACCATACACATCCTATTCTCTTTTGAATATTTGACACTTTTTTCCTGTTCTATGTCTTCCTACCTTGCAGGACCCCACAGGCATCAACTTGGATGCAAGATACTCACCTGTCGAAACATGTGACACTTCAGAGACAAAAATACAACACCTGTGAACCTTTGCATGCTTGAGGGCACACTGTGGTTAAAGAAAATCTTAGACAATCTAATTGTAATCTAAGTCAATAGGAAGGGCATGTCTGTACCTCTCTGCTGCTGAGAACTTTGCTAGACGTTATTACTTTCCTGGGCTTTAGTCATTCATTTTAAACATTGGAAGGGGAAAATGAGTTGTATTAATGGCAGTGTGGGGTGCAGGGTGAGGGGGCATGGGGAGCTCAGACAGAAAAGGGTTGTCCCCAGTGTTAGAAAAAAAATTCTTGGTCAAGAGAATAGAATCTTGACCTGTGTGCAGGAGACTTGGCATTCCAGTTGGGCTGGGTTGTTAATTTGAGCAAGTGACCACCACTAGGAAGATGACTCACCTTAAACCATGCTAAAGAGTGGGTGGAATAATTAGTCCTTTCATGAGATACTAGACGTTTCCTGCCCAGTATCCCAGCCCCTAGTGCAGTAGGTTGTAAGTCTCTCCACTTTTCTGAAAACTCTACCTTTTCTTTTCTCTCTCTCTTTTCTAAGCATGTTTTCCTTCACACTTTTCCCCCTTAACATTTTGGGTTTCCATTTTCTTTCCCTAAAGCTTCTCGGTCTCCAGCATGTAGCTACTTGTCTACCATGTGTCTGATCTCCATGGCAGCTTAAAATGACCTGGCTTCTTTTACCACTCTCCTCCATTCTCTGTCTCCAGGGAGCTGCTGACATTTTACATTTGGACTACCCTGAGTTTGGGTCTTTTTTTTTTTTTTCTTTTGAATTCTAATGAAGTTGTCTTTGAGCTTCTGTTTGAGTATATTCATAAGTTCTTTTATTAGTGAGACTAAGAACCCCCCAAAAGGAACCTCGATATTCAATGTATAGCCAAACATGCATCAGCAAGGAAGGGAGTGAAGTATGAACTACACTTCACCTTTACTTGACCTCAAAGTTCACAGCCTTACTGTTCTACATTCTGACTACCCTGCTCCAAGTTCAACAAGGGAGGTAGCTCTGTGGTTATCTCAAACCTCAAAAAAGTCTAGATTTCTCCCCTTCGATGCCCACATCAGGTTTCCCATCCCTGCACTTGGTTTCACCTCTACTTAACCTAATTTTAGATGTTTTCTGTCACTTCTCTTCCCCCCATTTATCCTCTTACTCCCTTCATTAACCCATTAACTGATTCTTGAGACTATAATTTCCCAGCACTGTTTAGAATTCCATCCTACCCCAGTCAACATGGCTGTCATCTAGATAACAGAAACCAAGAAGTTGTGGTGAAGAATGTAAGTTGGTGAGGGTGGTTGCTCCTCAAAGTATATATTATAGATACATAAGTATTATATATTAAAGGAGAAAATGGTCTCAAGTGGGTTTTGAAATTCTCTTATCATAAAGATTATAAAAACCACTTCATCAGTTCACAGCACCATTCTGCCTTAAATCTTTGTCTTAAACATCTCACTGTCACTTGTTCCTTGTCACCTTTTGTTGGTTCTCCTCATTGTTAGACTTGTTCTTCCTTTTTAAACCTAAACTTAAAATTCAACTTAATGTTCCCTTCTGGGAGGCAGTGATCAGCCAGCATAACAGATATATCCATAGCTTAAAATAATCTTTGTTTAACTTTAGAAGTAATACTTACATTTACTGTTGACTAGTTTACTTTCTTGCCCATTAGGTATGGCAGAATGCTTCTATTTTTAGAATGCCAAAAATAAATTATATTTTCTAATTTATGAATGGATGGTTGGTGAATTGAATAAAATACTTTTTCCCATTCTTTAAGATACCTGGATCAGTGGTTTAATGATAAGTTAACCTTGTAACCTTGTATTTCTGCAGTGAGCTCACATTTTTTATAAATTTTTCTATGTTTCACATGTATAATGTGTGTGTGTGTGTGTGTGTGTGTGTGTGTGTGTGTGTGTGTGTGTGTGTGTACATGCTCTGGTATGATGGAAGCCAGAAGCTGATCCTGGAATGTCTTTTTCGCAATTTCTTCTCCAACATA